CTGCTTTTGTCTAATTCATAATTTAACCTTCTATATCTTTTTAATCAAAGGTATATTGGTGGTTAAAATATAAAAAAGCCTTTAAATTATTCTTTTTTTTAAAATAAGCTTTTAAATTTTTATTGTACATAAATAAAATGTTGTTTTTTTTATTTGTATTTAAATAAGTTTTTATTTTGAATAAAAGATCAATTTATATTAAAGGTTTATTTAAGTATAAATTAAATGTTAAAGACTTATTTAAATACAAATTAAAAGTTAAGAATATATTTAGACATAAATTAAAGGGTTGGAACTTATTTAAATATAATAAAAAATATAAAAATTTATCTAAATAAAGTAATAAAATTCATGAGATTTTTTGTTATTTTACCCTATATTGACTTTAAGGTACAAACGCGCTTTTATTTAGATGTAATAAAAGCATAAAAGTTAGAGGTAATAACATTTTGAATCGAATTAAATATAATTTGATTTTTGTGATAATATATAAAATTATAATTTTTTTTCAATCTAATATGAATCTGAATCAAATTTTGATATTATTCAATTTGAACTAAATTCTAATGCTTTGGTTTGATTTAGTTCATCAGTTTTTAAAATTTAAATTTTTTTGTATATATTATTTTAATATAATTTTAATAGATTGAAATAAATTCAAGTATAAAATAATTATTCTTGTTTTATAAAAATTTTAAAAATATATAAAAATTAATAAAAACATATAATTCAATTAGATTTTTTTTCGGTTTTTCATTTTATGATCTAAAACTTGATTCGAATTCAATATATATATTTAATATCTGAATTTACTTTAAATCAAATAAGAAAAAAATTGATTTGAATCGAATTGAACATTATTATTTTAAATCAATTTTTTTTTCTCATTTCTAATACGAATTTATTTGAGTAAAGTAATAAAGTTTTAAAACTCTTTTTTTATTATTTTAACCTATTTTGATTTTAACTTCTAAATATTTTTGTTTAGACGTAATATAAATATAAAAATTTGTCTAAATAAAGTGATATAATTGGAGGACTTTTGAAGTGAAGTATGAATTTGGTTGTATGGCCGGCTTTTCGCTGTTTTCTTTGGACCACACAGTTTTCGGTGTGTGAAATTTCGTGGCCAATTTTGTGGTGTTTTTAGTCTTATGTATAATGTACATGAGCGACATTAATATCCTACTATTGTTTTGGGTAGATAAATGAGATGACATTTGTTTGTGTTTAATTCAATGGCACATGTTTTAATTGTGAAATTTTAATTGAATTGAGTTAAATGAATTATAATATATAGATTATATGATTTATAATGAATTAAATTTATAGATATTATTCATTCATATTTTTAATTTTTATTTTAAATTATATAAATTTAATTATTTATAAATTTAATATTCATGATTTCATGTATTTATGAATTTAATTAATTGTGAATAAATGTTTTTCATGTTTAGTGTCATCTAAATTTATATCTAAAATTGAGAAATATAAATAATTATGAATCAAATTTAAATTGAGAGAATCTAATTTTTAGCCATTCATTCATTTATGGTATTTATGAACTTAATTAATTGTGGATGGATGTAGTTAATGATTAATATGACTTAAGTTTAACATATCTATTGAATAATATAAATACCTATAAATCAAATTCATATTGTTAGTTATATTTTAGTTTATTTTTTATCTTTTATTTTTTCATGTTTGAATATGTTGTGAAAGTATAAGTCCTTGGTTCGTATAGTTCGTATATATCATTAGAAATTAAGTTTCAATTTTTTAGGTTACACATTAAAGGAGTTTCGATTGAAATTACGTATTATTTTGTAAATATTTATTATTAATTTTTATTAAATAAAATTATGATCTGAGCGAAGTTGGATAAGTTTTTCTTCTTGAATCTATTTTTAACTTTCTTTTTTATATTTTTATTCTGTTTTGTTATTACAACCTCGAAACGATTGTGCCACGATCACAAGGATATTCTCGGGTGCCACAGATTTTTGTATCTGCCTTCCAATCTGATTAAATAGCTATCGTTTGGAGCACTTATTACACTTCCATATCTTTTCCCCTTGCTTCCTGCAGAAGTGCTTCTTAATGCCAGTCAAGTCATCTAGGGCCCGGATCGTGATGCACAAAATTTGGCTCAGGACATATATAAACCCTTTTCTTATCCTGTGTATTTGTTCTTTGCTTTAGCTTCCAAGGCAAGTTATGTCCTCTCCTATGGAGCTGAAGGTTCTGATCTCTTTGAAATCCTTTATGACATACACATACTTTACATATGTTTACCTGTTGTTAGCCATTAGAGTACTTGGAGATAGTGCTACAACCTCCGTATCAGGATCTGAAAATTTGCCAAAAGGGGAAAGTTGGTGACTTGCAATCTAGCTACATTTTTCTGATTACTATTCCTGAAAGAATCTGAATCAACCTTCTTGCATCTTACTTAAACATAAATTATTGTCATAACCTTTTGCACCTATATAAAGGGATTCGACAGATATGAGAAAAGGATGCCAAAGAATTTTTTAAGCTTCCACCAACAAAATGTTAGCTAATAGTAAGAGCCAATTGGATTGAAAAGAAGACGGTCTTGACTCTTGACTGGCATTCATTGAGCGAATTCTGTTTTATGTAAAAAAAAAAAAAAAATTGTAACTAGAGAGATTCATAACAGACAGTAGAAAATATTGACAAATACGAAAGCATATATACACTTTCCAGCACTGCCAACAGTCACTGAACCTGTTGGTAGAGTGGTGGACTCCTAATTTCATTGACCAAATTCAAATCATGGCAGCCTCAAATGCCAAAAGAAATACTTTCCAGCACTTTTCTCATGCATTTATGCTCCGTGGCTTATGTTTTCACGTAAAAAATGATCCAACATATTTTACAACAATTTGTTTGAACAAGGGATAAGGTAGGTGTGTTTGCCTGGATTCCCCGGCAGATTTCTTTTCTTCTTTGAACTTTTGGTGCTAGGAGTTGAACCGTCAGCACCATGTTCAACAGAATTGGGACTTTCATTAGAGGACAGTGAGATGACAGTGCTTTAAAGCTGTTTATCTTCAAAATCCTGAACAAAGTTTGACATGTTTAGCAGGCCTTGATACTGATCAATGTTGAGAGGCAGTTGACAACTTGACATTATATGATCAGATAAGGTGGGAGACTTGACTAGCAAACAAAAAGAAGAAGCAATTCCATACCAACCACGAGCGAAGGCCATGGTCCATGCATTGAAAATTAAATTGGAATTAGAATTTTTTGATAGCATCATCTGTGTATCAAACAATATTTGTTAAGATCATCCACCAATAAAATAGACATTGTGAGTTGGGCCTATTTGTCCTGTTTGTGACGCGGTAAGATGAACTTCTTGCAAACGCGCAATGGTTTCATTAGATTATCTGAAGCATTAATAGCTATTGTCTGCATTTTAACCAGACTGTGAGGTCATGGAATTGCACTTTTAATGCTGATAGATCTTCAAAAGCTGTTTGCCGTTTTTGATTTGACATTAAGAATTAGTTGAGCTGGTAACTAATGTGATCAAAAGAATTACAGACAAATTAAAAAGGACAATGTAGAGGATGCCAAAGGAGAGATACGTAAGAAGAGAAAAGTTTTGCCTTCAGTTAAAATTATTTATGATGTTATGTGTGCCTTACCTACTTCCACGATCCACCCGGGATACCCACCACTAGTTGGCCTGCATTTTTGTGTTTGTCATACTTGATTATTGCTTTGCCTGAACATTTGAGTGAGCTGGACTTATTTTTCAGTGTGCTTGCCCCCAAAATAATTTGTTAATTGCTTGATAATATCTTTAACCAAATTCCCAGTGTCTGTTTTTGTTGTTTTATGCCTGAAAAGAGGAAACCATGATCACAACATGAAACATATAACGTATTGTTCAAACTTCCAAGTCTTTGCGCTGAGTGTAAGTTAGTTCTTATTCAAATTTCTAAGTTAATTTTTATGCTGTTGTGACGAGTTTCAAATTGTGGACTCCCTTGTCAAGTAGCTCTACCAACGAAATCGTTTTCTGCTACGTCAAGTCATGTATTTAAACCTTTCTGTAACCATTCTATGGAGAGATCCATATCTTATTTCAACTCATGGCTTGTAGAATCCCATCTTAGAGTAGTGATAATGGTACCACCAGACATCCAGACCAAAGGCCAGAGCATCTTAAATTTGTCATTCATCATTGAAAAAATTTTCACTAAAAACAGCCTTACAACGTGTTATGTAATGTGCGGTAACTGTTTGCAGGAGTGAACCTTAATCTTGTAGAAGTTTTATTTGTCTTATTTATGTTATTCACATAACATTTGATTCTGGACACTTGGACAACTAGATACCATAAATTTTAGGATAATATCATAGTGTATATGCTGATGTAAAAAATTGAGAAGAATGAATAGAAAATAGATTGAAAGAAGGCTGCCCTTCATCTCTATGTTCTATTTTTGCTGCTGTGATATCAGAACTGCATTTACTTCATGAATCGTTCATTTCAAGTATTTAACCCGCCAGCACAATGAGTATTTTTTATTGCATATTACTTTGTCACCTTGTGACGTAAATCACGCTTAGAAGCCTAGATTCCAGTGGCGTTCTAACTTCTGAATCTTGAATGTTAAAACGATTTGTTTTATCCAAATTGTTGCAATTATTGCCAATACTATGACATTTCTGGTGTCGTGAATTCCACATGTCTTAAGTAAGCAGGCTACTAATTAAGCTATGCAAGTGGAAGAAAGCTCAGTTGAAATCTTCAGCTGCAAACCTCAGCAGTTGCTCTCCTGCTCTCCTAACAGTTTCAACTTTACCTTATACCTAGAAATTGCATTTCATTTTTGTTTTTTGTTTTTGTTGCTTTTTTTTGCAAAATGAGATAATTTCATTCATGGAAAAAATAAGGACAAAATCCCTCATAAGAAGGAGAATAAACATTTCTTTGGAAGGCAAGATAATTTTGTTAATAGGAATTAAGCAGATATACATTTTTATTGCGAAAGCTATCAGACTATATATATATATATATATATCTGATTTCTTTTTCTTTGTTTGCTAAAAACTAGGTCTCACCTAAGTCATCAAGGCTCACTTTACATATACATCAAGTCCTTTCTTTTCATATCTCGTATGTCATTCCTACCCTTAGAAGTCTAGAGTGTGGTATCACCATTACTTTGTCTCCTTGCCTGAAGTTTTTCCTCAGAAAACTATAAACATAGTCCACAATTATCTTCTTTATGCAGGATGAGTTTGGTTTTGCCACCACTTCAGCTTCTCCCAGTAGGTAAATAACTCCTTCGTCCATTGCTTTCTGCACAAACTGCATCTCCTCTTCAGCTCCCAGGATTGGTGCAGAGATGATTCGGCTGGACGAGTTTGTTGATTTGGCCGCATTGAATGACTGGATGGACGCTGAGGAAACGCGAGGTGGGTTGAGCTGGTTTAGTGATTCCTCAACAAAAACGGCGGATTTACTCGCTACTTTTTCTTTTCCTTGATTTACTACAAGAGTGGTGCTCTGGAGGTTCTCAGGAGCAGTCGCCAGTTCGGTGGCGCCTCCTTCAGCAATGAAGTATTCGTGGCGAATGAATTCCTTCAAGTTCTCAACTAATTGACGCTCAAACTCCTCAGTAGTTCCCATTACATCCTGATACCCGTATCTTACAACACAGCGGAACATTCGATATTCTCTTGGTTCCACCTGTCTGAAGAGAAAACGCTCCTCCAATGCTATTTTGCTAATCGGAAGTTTCTTAATTGAGACAAACACCAGAACTGAATGGATGGAAGGTATGCTAGAAATGAAATGAGGAAATATAGGCGGTATGCCTTGAACGAGCTCCGTGTACAAAAGACCCATTCCCGGCGACCGGTTTATACTTGGATCTTCCACCAGTTGTTTAAGGTATTCATTAGAAACCTTATTCTTGAGCTCAAAATCGTATTTTCTTTGGTGGACATAGTGCCATATTCCCATAATTATCATTAGGGCAAGGGAGAAGGCCAGCGGAAGATAGCCTCCTTGAACAAATTTAAACAAAACTGATGAGAGATATATACCTTCTACGGCGCCAAAGAATACAAAGAAGAGGGCAATCCACAGTATGTTTGTCTTCCATACGACAAGCATGATAAGAGTAACCATACATGTTGTGATCATCATTACCGCTACCACAGCAATTCCTATAAACCCAAGAGAAATGAAGTGTTATCCTTAAAGTTTCACATTTGGAATTTAAAGAGAAGACAGACTATTTGAATTGTGTTTTCATCCTGAGGATTCATTGTTCTATGTGTTGGTGAATTTTGATTTAGTTGGTTGTCATTAGACCTGGATTAAAATAATAAGACCCTGATTATCCTGAGTAGTACTTTCGAGTTGTGAGCTTACCATATGCATTGCCAATCTTTTCTGTGGTTTTGAAGGCAGCAGTGACAATAACACAGGCAATCATGAGCATGTAGTTGATGTCTGGTATATAAACCTGACCCTCATACTTAACGGAGGTGTGAACTACCTTAACTCTTGGAAAACACCCTAGAGATAACGACTGAGAGATGATTGAAAATGCTCCAGATATCATAGCCTGGCTAGCAATAATAGCAGCGGCAACAGCTACCACAAATGTTGGCCAGTACAAAGGACCTACCTCGACATAAAATACCATTAGTAACAAATTTTGTTTTGAAAAGCTTCTTTTAATTGAAGATTTTTACCTGGAATGGATTTGTAGAAAGTGTCCCCAACGTCATTAGGGTATTTGGTGAGGTAGGCTGCTTGGCCACTATATGCAATGAGTAAGGAAGGCAAGACAATGACGGAGAAACTCATCTGCAGTTCCATGCATAAACAATTTGTTGAAGAACCAAAAAAAAAAAAAAATCAAGAGTTTCCAATTAAGCTTTCCTACTTTGGGCCGATATAGTCTTGCGGAGTCGAAGAGAAGAAAATGTAAATAAAATTTGCCAAAGAAATGAGACTAATTTTCACTGGTTTTATAATTTATTTAGTAAACTTACTTGAATTGCTCGAATATTGAAGTGACCCAGATCAGCAAACATAGCTTCCGACCCTATTTTAAATGTCCATACAGTACTTTAGACAAAAAGGAACATAAAGAGATGATCGAAAAGTAAAAGCTGACACTCACCTGTAATGCAAAGAATTACTCCACCAAGTGACACCCATCCCTTCTTGCCACGTCTTTTGAAGTAATCCACTATATATACAGGATTAAACGCACGTAATACACCCCAACCATATGTGAAGAGGTTGTACAAGCCGATGCCACTGAGGAAGGCAAACCACAGGCAGATAATTGGGGCAAATGAATACCCCACTTTATCAGTTCCAAACCGCTGAGCACAGAAAAGTATGATCAGAATTGCCACGGAAATTCCCACCACAGCGTCTGAAAATTCGGTAAGAAATTAGCTCAAAAATGGTTGCAGAAATAGATTTGTAGTCTTCTGATGAAGGTGAGGATATTCTACCTTTTCCCAAGGATGTTATGCCACTAACTGCAGAAAGAACTGTCAAAAAAATGAATTCAACTAGTGAGAAGAAAAAGGAATAATTTGATCTGATCGTCTTAAGGAATTAACATTAGATATGTAGGGAATACCTGAGATGCATGGAGTCAAAACCCCATCTCCCATAACCATTGAAGTCCCTAGTATAGTGACCATGAAAAGAACAAGTTTGGCACGTTTACTGTTCTCTATCTTTCCTCTTATTTTGTATGCCCGCTTTAACTGGCTGGATGGAGTGTCCAACCGGTAGTTAGACAGCTCTCTATCCTCCGGCTGTTGATTTGGAATTAAGCTCGCTTTTACATGTCGGCATAACAACGAATAGAGCGCAAATGTTCCACCTGGAAATCATTGCCCATTTATTTCGTAAGATGAATAAACGGCAAGGTTGTATTTTTCTCATCTACCCATTTTAAAATTGTGTAAATTAATGAATTGGTTAAGTGCTTTGTTTTCGATTCAAACAATAATCCGATGAATGGTTATTTGTTCATATTCTAATTTTAATATTCCATAAATATTCAATATATTAAACATTTCATAAAAATATGTACCGGACTCCAAAGTAATTTATATCAAGGTAAAAAATTAAAGGTTCAGATCTTGCAAATAAATTTTGATTCAGTCCAGTCTGATCCTTTTCATTCGGGTGTTTGACCCATCCAACATGGATGATAAAAAGAAATCATTGATTCTTGATTCAATCTATTCAATCAATCCGATGTATTAATATTTCATTAAATTGAGCTATAGTCTTAGTTGAAATTCTAAAAGCCTACATGTCTTTTTAGAGAAGAGAACTCTCATGTGCCAACAGCCAACTATAATTAAAAAGAGAGAGAGAGAGAGAGAGAGAGGGAACTCTCATGTATAATTGTATATACTTATGTTAAGATTTAAGGTAATTTAAACATGCAAGATAGAGTTAACCAAGTAGGTAGGGATGAAAACTAGTTGCTTATAATTACCTTCACCATTGTCATTAGCTCTCAAAACGATGAATGCATACTTCACAAAAGGAATGAGAACTATGGTGTAGATGATGAGGGACAGAACCCCAAAAAGGTTTTCTTGGTCGCCAATGCCATCAGGGAAAGTGCTGGAATATACATATAGTGGGGAAGTTCCAATATCTCCGTACACCACTCCAATGCTCTGGAATGCTAAATTCAGCGTCGTCACCCAATTTACCTGTACAAAATTACAAGCCGCATTTACAGTTGCACAAGTGTTCAGGAAAATAAAGAAAAAGATTAATTAAAAAAAAAAAGGGAAACTTTTAGGCGGAGAATAGAGTGTAGAGAGAAGGACCTTAGGCTTGGTGGAAGAGAAAGGAAGTCTACCAGCCTCCAAATTGAGAGAATCCACATGGCGCAGCTTGGCCCATGAGAACTTTCGATCTTTCAGTCGGGTTTTATCACCTTCTACTGTCATCTCTATCTCCTCAACTTTCTCGACTTTGTCTGCCATGCCTGCTTCACGCTCTTCCTTTATGGTGATGAGAAATATGAATTGGAGGTATTACTCCTCGGCATTGTCACTTTATATGCACTCGCGTCAACGCCCCGGGTTCAGAAGAGAAAAAGTTATACGTCAGCCAGTAGTATTCAATCTCTATACTCTGATTGTACGCGTATGACCCTGTTTTGGTGCCACGTACCTCTTTGATTTCTCTTTTAAACAGAATCTCGTGAACTTTATGTGGAGATTTAATTTAAAATTATTTGGTAATAGATGAAATTTGACATGAAATTTCTGTTATCTTCATTTCAATAAAATTCAACCAAAAAGCAAAACTTGGAAATGAGTAGGAGGAGCTTTACTAAACTTTACTAATTAAAGCTTTTTGTTTTTATTTTGAATTTCAAAATTTATAATTTTGTAATAAAATATATTTAATATAATAGTAAATAATAATTTTTGATATTTTAAGCAAAATAATAACCTGTGTTTTAACATAGAGAATTAGCGTATGCAATGCTATTTAGTTTTGTAAACAATAGAAAATAGAAAAGAATGAAAGATCTTTTCTTTAATAGCATAAATTCATAACACAAAAAATGGGGAAAATTGAACCTTAAATTGTTAGAAAATCATGACTTGCTTTATCACGAGCATATTGATGATGACTTTTCACTTGCATTTTCATTGTACTCTTCCTTTACAAGTTTGGTAAAATTTAAGATGAAACCTTCAAAGCATTAAAAAAATTGACTTTGAAGCACGCTTTTAATGCCACTTTTCTTAAATTTTATTTTATTTTTATCAACTATGGTATGCAAAAATGATATAATCGAAATGTCTGTAAAATACAATGAAGTCGTATTTAATTTCACCTTACACTTTTAAAATCAAACTACTAAACATCTTTTCATGAAAACGAAAACATCAACTTTTGAACATTAATTTCTATAAAATTATGTCAAAACAACTGTACTTTATTTGTGAAAGAAATGGAAAAAAGAAATAGAGCTTATGAATTATCAATTTTTGAATATGTCCAAATAAACACTTTCAATCTCTATTTATAGATATTAAATTTTAAAATTGTAACTTTTTTATTGTATTGTTTCGATCAAAAACTACTTCTTTTAATTAGAAAAACATTTTTCTAAATAACTAAAGTTATGTTAGTTCATTTAGATGATCACTCTTTTCATTTCATTAGAAATTATTTTCTATGTGTTTAGAAAATTATAATTTTTCACTAAAGCAATGGACTGTTTCAATAAGGCAATTTACTATTGCTTTGTATTTTTAATCTAGAATACTCCATAAAACATACCAGTTGGCTATTTGCTTAGAGTAGTAAATTTCTCTCGATTTCTTTTATGATTAAGTTTTACTTAATCAAACAATTTTTATATTTTAAAAATATTTTTAACATAAATTTAGACCCTTGATTTTTCATTAAAAGGGAAATATATTATCATTTGATTATTTAGATGGTAGTACTAAATTAGATGGTTTTAACTGCTTCTAAATAGCACTAATTCCCTTTTTTGCACATGCCCAAGAATTTTCAAACATAGATAAAGATGCTAATATATTTTGTGAAAAAATGAAAATAGTTTATTATTGCATAATATTAGTTTGGCCCCTAAATTAAAAGCCTTGACACTAGATCGCATTGGATGTCATATTCGACAAAATTTTTGATAAAATTTTTTAAGTGAAATTTGTGAAACTTTTTAAAAATTGATTTAATAAAATATAAATAAAAATTTAAACCAATAGATTAATAAAGTTAAATGTAAATATTAATAATATATAAAAAATTATTCAAAATATCGTTAATAATTCAAATTTAATGGATATTTATTTATATAATAATTTTGTCTAAATTTTTATTAAATATACTTATTTAAAAATATATTAAAATTTATTTTTTAAAAATTTTTACATAATCTATATAATAAGATCTTTTAATCTATCAATTTTAATTTTTATATAATAATTTTTAATAAAAACTTTTATGAATTTTAAGAATTTCACTTAAATAACTTCATTGAAGTCATATATAACTTGTTCATTTAATTAATTTTCAACTCAGTGTCTTTTTTTTTTTTTAAAGAAATATATGTCTGTACTAAATATTTCATTCGTAGGCTATATTAAATATACACTACAAGGGAATAAATCTTTAGTAGCATTTTTTTTCATGTTTAGCAGTGTTTATAAATGTCACTATATGATTTGCAGTGTTTGCTAAAAGCGCCGCTAAAAGTGTCACCTATACCTACGTCGAAGAAAATAGCGGCGTTTTAGAAAAAAACGCCACAAACTTAGCGGCATTTTCAAATAAAAATGCCCTTAAATTTAGTGGCATTTTTATCTAAAAATATCGCTAAGTTTGTGGCATTTTTATTTGAAAATGCCACTAAATTAGTGACGTTTTTCCTAAAACATTGCTAAAGGGAAATTTAGTGGTGTTTGTGTCTAAAAACACTGCTAATAATTTAGCGGCATTTTCCAGACACAAACGCTACTACATTAGTGGCATTTTTTGGCACAAATACTGTTAACTTAGGAAATTTACTTTTTTTTAATATTTACTACTATAATTAAATAAAAAATAGATAAATATTTTGAAATTCATAAACTGAATGTTATAAATATTTAAATATCTAAATACATAGTTTGTTACAGTATACATGTAACACAAAGGTTAATACATTAATAGTTGTAGTTGTTTCAGTACATTAACTATAAATTTAAAATATATGAAATTGATAACCACCTAAATTTGGAGCACTGCCATTTGATGAAGCATTTTTTCCATTACAATCACTAACTTGCTCGAGTACCTACAAAGTAAAACAAATATTTACACTTAATAATAATCTATTTCTAATATTAAAAAAATATAAATATTTACTAAATATAATACCTAAGTTGGTAGACCACATAGATTGTTTCCTAGAAATTGTTGTTGCACAAAATTCAAAAAAGTATTGAATTGATCATGTAACTGCTAATGCTCTTCATCCATTTTAGCACGTTCCTTAGCTCTTTCTACTTCCATTTGCTGAACACATTATTACATAGTTTGCAACCCCTCTTTCAATATTGAGATTTCTCGAGAAAAATGACATACTAAGAATGTAAATTGTTATGAGCTATTTTCATAGTAGCTAGATGGTGTTGGACCCAATCCAAGGCCTTGGATCTATCCATGTCTTTCTTTTCCAACAACATCTGTGAAAATCTGATCTTTCAATTCATGCATGTTGACATAACAATCAAATGCTACTTCAATTTTAATGGTCATTTTCTCTTTCACTTTCTCTTATAAATTAATCAAATAAAGCTATTAAGTTTAATAATTAATTCATAATATATTTGAAATAGTAAATATTTACTTTCTATATAAAACGAATCCAAAAAATTACCACAATTTCTTATGTTTTGATATTTAGGTAAGATCTTTTTTTTTTCATGTGGGTTAATCGAAAAAGTTTCACACGTCCAATTTTTTCACCCAACTCAATCTTCTACATAAAAAACACTATTATTGTTAAACATATATCAACCATAACTTATGCATATCAAGGGTGGCAATAATGATCTTAATCTCCTATATAAAAAATACTATTATTGTTAAACACACATCAACCATAACTTATTTATCTATATCAAGCAAGGCAATAATGACTAGACACATGTAATATCATATAATATGAGCTATCTAAACTGTTAACATAGAACAATAATTGTAAATTTGCATTTTTACTTGTTAACGTTATAAAAAGTCCTAAATAGACATATATCTTAACTTATTCATACATATCAAATTGTGAAAATCAAGTTCAATCATTCGGACAAGTTTAATATCATGTATATAAACTAACTAAACTGTTAAAACATGAATATAACTGTAGAATTGCATTTTTACCTTTAATGGTACAATAAAGTCTAAAAAAGACATAAACGCTACCTTTTTCCACATATATCAATCATGAAAATCAAGTTCAATCATTTAGATAAGTTTAATATCATGTCTTGAAGCTAACTAAATTGTAAAAACATACAAATAACTATAAAATTACATTTTTGCCCTTTAACGATGTAACAAGTTCTAAAAAGGCATACACGATAACATTTTCATACATATCTATCGTGAAACCAAGTTCAATTATTCGAAGAAGTTTAATATCATATATTGAAGCTATCTAAACTGTTAAAACAGAATAATAAACACATATTTGCATTTTGGCCTTTTAGCGGCACAAAAAGTGCTAAATAGACATAAACAATAACTTTTTCACACTTATCAATCTTGGGTACCAAGTTCAATCATTCGAAAAAGTTTAATATCATGTATTTAAGCTATCTAAACTATTAAAACATAAATATAACTATAAAATTATATTTCACCTTTTAACAACGTAACAAAGTCTTAAAAAGATATATACAATAACATTTTCACATATATCAGTCATGGAAACCAAGTTCAATTATTCAAACAAGTTTAATATCATGTATTAAAGCTATCTAAACTATTAAAACAAAATAATAAACACAATTTTGCATTTTGGTCTTTTAACGGCATAAAAAAGTGTTAAATAGACATAAACAATAACTTTTTCACACGTATCAATTGTGGAAACGAAGTTCAATCATTTGAAAAAGTTTAATATCATATATTTAAGCTATCTAAACTGTTAAAACATAAATATCATTACAAGATTATATTTTTCCTTTTAACGACATAACAAAGTCCTAAAAAGACATACATGCTAACATTTTCACATATATCAACTATGAAAACCAAGTTCAATTATTCAAACAAGTTTTATATCATGTATTGAAGCTTGTGACAACAAAATAATAAACATAAATTTACATTTTGGCCTTTTAACGGCACAAAAAAATGCTAAACAAACATAAATGGTAACTTTTTCACAATTCTCAATCATGAAAACCAAGTTCAATCATTTGAAGAAGTTTAATATTATGTATTTAAGGCATCTAAACTGTTAAAACATAAATACAACTGCAAATTTATATTTTTACCTTTTAACGGCATAACAAAGTCCTAAAAAGAC